TTAGTTTTTAAAAAATTGTATAAAACTTTAATTTCTATTCTTTGGCAAGATCTATTTTTATTCAAATAAAAGCATTTATTTATTTCTAATTATTTTTATTTCTTGTCGATGCCAAAAAATTTATTTTTAAAAAATTAAACTAAATTTTGATCTTTATTCTTTGGCAAAATACATTTTTTTTTAAATAAAAGCATTTATTTATTTTTAATTATTTTTCATTTCTTATCAAAGACAAAATATATAAACAAATATAAATATAAAAATTTTACTTAGATTTTATTTAGGCTATATAAAGTTAATTTTTCATTTTGTATTACTTGCTAATCTATTTTTTTAATTTTTTTTTTTTAAGTTCTAATTGTGCTAATTGTCCAATTTTTGCAGTTTATTTTTTTTTATAATTTTATTCAGAATTTTCTGGCATGTTATAGAATTTACCAATATAACTAACAAACAAAAAAAATCTGCCCCCCTGCCCAATTTTTTTAAATCTATGTAATGCAAAATAAAAAATTAACTTTGCGTAGCCTTATCATAATTCTTCATGCATTCTTGACAAATATTAATAATATCTTGATTACTTGATATCTTAACTAAAGATTTATTTATAAACTAGTTGATTATATTTAACTTTTTTAATAATAGTACATGCTTGAATAATATATTTGTTGTTAAAAGTCTAATTTATATTTAATTTCTTCTTGTTAAGATTTATTGGTTAACATAACTATTTTTTTCCATAAATTTTTATACAAACCAAAATGACCAAACATTTTCAAACAAGCATTTGAATGAAAATTTAAAATCATTGATATTATTGTTATGACAATTATTATATGATATAAAAATAGCTTATTTTATTATACAGATCATGTCGAATTAATAATATAACCAGATTAGCTAAAAAATCATTCAGCAAATTTTTACAGGTGTTCTAGGAATTGATAATAGCTATAATATTCAAATAAAAATAAAGTACAGGATAAATACAAAACATATTATATAAGTCTATATATTTAGATAAAATAAGCTTTGATCCAGTATTAATTTTCTGATTAAAAATAGTCTGAGTTGTTTTGCTAATTTTGATTTAGGATACTTTGCTATTCACGATACTATTATTTATCAATAAATTAGATATGTTAGATTAAAAATTATTAAAATATACAAAAACAAACAAAAAAAAAAATAAAATAAAATAAGTATTTATTGGTTGGTTATCCAGGTTATGCTACATAAAGGTCAATACTCAAGTAACCTATATACTATACTTTGGTGGATTTGGATTTAAGAAATGACAAGAGTAGAAAAGTATATACAGTATTAAGAAGTAAGTGATAAAAAAATAACAACAGAGAGAAAATATCTATTGTGAAATTAATAGTAAAGAGATAAATAACAAGTAGCAAAATCATAATAGAAAGAAAATTTAAAAGATTTATTTTGAAAAAAATCATGAATAAGATAAAAGAGGATTTTAGGAATATGTATTATATTGGTTAAGATGATATCTTTTTTTGGATTTGTTGATATTTTGGGTACAACCAATCACTTCATTTGTAAAAATAACTTTGATGCCACTATTATACCAATTGTACTTTTCTCTTCTTCACACAACATGCTCTTAAGTTCTTAGATGATGGAGGGTTTTATATTAAATACAATTTGATATATATTCTTTTTTCTAATAAATATTAATATACAAACCTATTAATAACTTCAATTCTTGCAATGAATTACAACCTTGATCCCTTTAAACTCGCAAATTATATCTATCTTTTTATTGCTCTGCCTCCTATTAATAATAATAAGTGAGTAAATATTTTATAATTATTAACAATTAAGAAAGCATGCTGGAATATTCTACAGTGAGTGTTTTTGTGGTAATTAGCATATATTCTATTCATTATTAATAATTATTAACTCCTGACAGCATCTATTATCTTTTAGAAACATTGAGAAACTGAAAGAGAAGAACATTCAACTGTCAAAGCAGTCAGCTATGATGTGCTTTCAATTCTCTTTTAGATATTTTACAATGATGTGGCAGCATACCTTTAGATATACAATAACTCAACAAACACTCAATAAAAAACTCACTCTTTATGAATTACAATAACACCAATAATTTAACAATATTAATTTTGAATTTCAATTCTTAAATATACAATGACTTTCTAATAATCATAGCAATAATATTTGTTTTGGAATGTATCTTTCAAGATTTGAAAAAAAAATTCTTAAAGATTAACTCATATTTAATACCAAATAGATATCACTTTTTTTTTGTTTAGAATATTTTGTTGAGAAAATATATAAGCATTACTTGATTTATTCATCACAGAAAAGATGATTATATTAAAAAGCCATTTTTAGTATAGTGTCAAAAGCATATTTATTTTTAACAGATTTATATCTTTTTAAAACCTGCTTTATTTAATCTTAAAATAGAAATTGTGTATTTAATAATAATTATGCACCCATACTAACAAGTTATTATATTGATATTTACCAAATTTAGTTTAAAACATTCTGAGATTCTGCTACAACTATATATGTATGTGGATATTTGATATTATGCCCCATCTTACAAAATAACGATTTAAACCTTGTAAAATTTTGTATAGTTAAATTTATGTTTTGCAATACAGATGTGAATAATGATTGTATTTGTTACAAACCTTACAACTATGCCTCCAATCTCTAAAGTTATGTTACTTTTTGATATAATTCAACCTTTTTTATTCATAAGTATACTATTCTGATCTTTCATTGTTATATTAATAGAAAAAATAATATTTACATGGCTAAATTTTTTCTATATGTACAAAACAAATCTGTAATATATGGCAATTGTGTCCTTACCTACAAATAAATTATGCATAAGCTGAGATTGTTTATAGAAATTTTTTTTTATATACATATAAACAAATTTCATTTTTTATATAGAACATTAAAAAATTAACTTTTATATAGAAATTATATTTAATATATGATGTAGTAATCATATATTTGTGATATCTCAAGATCATGTTCACATGACTTATATGAATGATTCTAACAGGATTTTGTCAAGAATCTGAGATATTATATAATTAATCTGATTCTACAGTTAATTTAGAAATCATCAAGACCTTATATTTATTAAAATAAAAAAAAGTGAACTTTAAATATTTTAGTTAATAAATAGTAAATACAGTTAGACCTTTTATAGTCATCACCTTCTATATAAGTATATTTTCTTTAAAAGTATATTTTTTAAAAAACAAACTATTATTCAATATAATAAATTTGGTTTCTATAACTATTACACTTCTCTGCAATTACACATTTTTGTATTCCAAGTGTGTGATTATAAAGAGAATTGACTGTAACAATCAAAATTAAGTAAGTGAATAAATGTTATTCTTAAAGAAATACAAATTATATTAGCACAATGTTTCCTCAATAGCATTGATATAAATTAACTCTATAAATTTTTTTTATTTTTATCAATAAAATTATTTCAATAATTTTAACGTATTTCATCAAATAATTTATGACCGGATATAAAAATCTAGTAGATTGAGCAAAAATAGTTGGATATCCACAGATTCAAACACTAATATCAAGGATGAATATATAAAGATCTAAATTGATTGTCAAAAAGAATAAATAGGGTGATACATAATTATATAAATTATTTTCTTTATTAAACCCGATAAGATAAATATTACTATAATAGTCTACATTAATTATTTAAAAAATACACCATACATACCCACTGTAAAATTTTATCTATTGCAACTGTTCATTAAGAGACACATCAATTTGCACCTGGAAAATGTGTACCAGGTTGGGATCGGATGATCGTCCGGAAGTCTAGGTCGGAACGGTATGAAAAGTCAGAACTAAACAAAAAAATTATGTATTGTACATACATATGATGTCATTTTGTTAATAAAATAAAATTACTTATTAGTTTATCATTATTTAAATTATATAAAAAGTCAATAATATTTTTACGTTGTTTTTTTTTCTTGCAAAAAAAAAAAAAAAAAGAAGCGATGCAAAATTTTTATAAGCATGTATTTTAATATTATAAGCTTTATTTTGTTAATTACAAGCAAGAAACCATCAAATTAGGACTTAGGTAAACAAAACCATAGACTATATATCAATGTCACTTCGTCAAATACTTTCGTCACTTTTGAGTCATAAGTTGAGCCAAATGTGAAAATAAGAAACGTTTGGCTGTCTAAAAAAGATATTTAAATTAGGTTGGTATTTTAATTTTTTAATTAATAATAATTCAGAATTTATTTAATAATTATGTAGCAACGAAGCCTAATAAGCGTATAATATATATTGAAAAATTTTTCATCATCAGTAACGTTAAGATAATAGCCAACTTCTTGCCGGCATTGAATATTTAAGAAGGATACGAAAAACCCGAATCTCTACCAATAAACAAGTTAGCGTTTTATCTATTTCACCAAATTTCATCACAGTCAACGAAAATTCAGAAAAAAATATCGATCGCCTGAAATAAAGGGCGTAAAAATTATTAACTGCAAAAAAGAGTACATAATTTATCGAACGTCGCCAAATGGTTAAAAGAAATAAACTATTATAATGTCGAAATTCAAGTTTATTTGTATTATTCTATACATTATATATGCTTGTAAATTGCATTAAATATTGCTTTATATTATCGTTGTAATTGAAAAATAAAGTCTTAGTAAGAAGAAAAAAAAATAAAAGTAAAATTTCGAACATTTTCTGGACCATCATCCGAGCCCAACCCGGTACACATTTTCTGGGTGCCATCAATTTCATTAATTCAATAATTTATTGACCTATCAACTTTGTTTAAAAACCAATTCTAACATCAGAATTAGATATCACTTCCAATAACGCAGTATCATCATCATCATATGAGCCTTATGTAAGTTTGATTTAGCACTATATAAAGTCAGATATAATCACGTGAATAAGAAGGTAGAATTTCATAAAGTCAATCAGTTAAATCTAATAAACATATAAAGTTCTTCGCTAATAGCTTTTGCGACAATATTATAAATAAATAATTCGACATCACCATCAGAAGTTTGATTAACGATAAGGGTATTTGAAAGAAATACTCTTTTTCCATGGGTAGATGCTTTTTCTGAATAAAGAGTTGCATTCAAAATATTTAAATTATTAGAAAAAATATTTACATAGTTGAATAAATATTAATAGGCTGATTAGTGGATAAATTTTCAAGATGAACATCAAAAGTTATCATTATTAATAGCAATAGGAGAATTTGATTGTTGTGACATGACTAAGCAAACATGTGCACGAAAACAAGATTCAAGAGGACCAAAAAAGATTGAAGGAATTTTTTGCAGAAGTTAATTTCTGATGCTACAGTTAGCTAACACCTACTGGTATATACTAGTGGAAAACTTTGGCTATTTGGAAAATTTTTATTACTTAAATCTGTTATGCGATTTCATTATAAATACAATTGAAAGTTCTGTCATTATAAAAAATAACACTATTATTAATATTTTTTTAAAAAAATATTTTGATACAATCTTTTTGCCCTAGGATATATATAAAATTACATGTGATAAATTTGTTAAAATACTTTAACTACAATGTTGATCTATTTAATCTATATTATTAAGTAACAAATATACATACCTCATCTATCATTTTTTTATGTTTCAAATATATATCTACCATTTATTTGCTCAATATTCGGTATAAATTTCCCTTTTCTTTTCCACCTTACTTTTTTCAATAGGTCGGCCATAACCCAGAGGTTGATCATAAGATTTAGCATTTCTAAATCTTCTAAGAATACCAAGACTGTTCATTTCTAAACTTAGTGGTCTAATTCCCAAATCTTCGAAAGTTTTTACCCCTGGAGTAATTTTATCACTAATAAATAATCTTTCAATATCTTCAGAAGAAATCGTTAGTAAAAAAGGAAGATAAAATGCTTTTGTAACAGCTAATGCTATTGGTTTTGGAATATTAAATCTAAGTCTACGATTATCAATTAGTTCATCAATTAGATCAAAAACTTGTTCAAAAGTATATTCACGAGGACCATATAATTCATAAGTCTCTCCCGTGGTTGATTCATCTTTAAACATGCGCTCAAGAGCTAAAGCAACATCAAAAACCTATAAAAGTAATATTTAAGCAATGAAATCTAAATTTATAAAAATCGTAATAAATCAATAATTCAAATTATGCTACATACATGAACAGGTCGAACTTTTGATCTGCCACCATTAACTATATATTCATATTTTGTAGCTACAAAATTATTAATACTTTACAATTAAAACTAAACATTAAATATATATATATATATAAATACTACTAGGAATCAAACTAACATGCATATCTCGTTAAAAATCTATCTTCTTGTCCATATATCGTAGAAGGACGAACTAAAGTTGCTTCGGGAAATTCTTTTCTCACAGCTTCTTCACCCAAAGCCTATTAAAATATAATAATATCATTTTAAATTCTTCTAAATCCTTCTAGAATTAAGTAAAAACAAAATTCAATAATTAAATTATTTATACTTTTGTGCGATAAAATTTGGATGACGAATTTTTATCAGCATTCAAGGCTGATACATGCACAAATCGTGAAACACCAAGTTCTCTTGAAATTCTAGCAATTCTAGCAGCACCTTCGACATGGACTTTCTCAAAAGTGAAATTCCTGTAAATTTTTGTAGTAATGATTAACGTATACTAGCATTAATTAATTAAATTCAATCGTGAATCAATTTTAATTTTACCTTGTCTCATGATCTCTACCTATCAAGTTGTAAACGATATCAGAATGTCTAACAGCCTCCTCAATATTTTTTTCATTGCGAAGATCAAACTCCTAAAAAATAATTTATTAAACAAGAATACATGGTGAATATGAAATCTATCTGTGTGTGTGAATTTTTTTTTAAAAAAAAAAATCACGCACATACCAGAGGAACAACTTGACCTAAATCTCCACAAACTTTTAAATGCCTTTTTGAATCTTCATCTCTGTACGGTACAACTACTTGAGTTCCTTGCCTAGCTGCGACGTTGTTAGAGGTAAGTCCATCAAACATTAATCCAGTAGATATTTGGATTTTATCACCTACCAAGTTTACTAACAATGTAACGTCCTAAGAATCCCGTACATCCAAAAACGGTTGCTATATGGCCACTTACTGAAGATCTTCAAAAAACCCCAATTTTAATATTTTGTAATTATATATTTTTAAAAAAAAAATACACTGTCAATAAACATACCGGCCTCCTGCACCATGTTTGATGATAGGTTTACCCGTTCTTTGCCTTATAATAAGATCATGTACAAATCGCTAGGTAGAAAAAGCAATTATTTTCTTCCCTTTTCTATAATTACTTATTAAAATATTATTATACCTTTTGGCTTAGCGTAGAAACGCACAAATTCCTCCAAGAAATAACACCAACACTGAACATGGGTTTGAGACAGAGGATATATTATACGGTTAGATTTTTAAGATGCGATTAATCGATTTTTTTGCTATTTTATTGGCTACAAATATGCAATCTGCTGATCCTGATGTTCATTTTATACGTATATACTAAAGTTCAGATGTCCAAAAAATTTTGCTTTTTCGTGTAACCCGAGCTTCTAGACCTCGATCCGACGATTCGGATTCGGCATCTGCGAAACATTAATATAAGTTTAATACCGCTAACTGATATTATAGCAAAAATTACAATCTGAGCAACTTTACATAATATATCAATTAGCGTTTTTTATTAGTTAAATTTGTTTATTTCGGCCAAAATCATTTGGTCCGGAAGCTCGGGTTACGTACGTACGTACGTAGATGTTTGTTTCACATACAAAATCAATATTTCTATAAATTTCTTTTATGTTCATTAATCTCAAAATTAAGGTCTGAATTGAATTTTAACCTAACGAGAGATTAGAATTAATAACTTTGCACGTACAATGAAAAGATTCTCGAATTTTACCACAAAGAGTCAGTCCGTCCGATGATACTGCAAAGAGTCAATTCAATGATATTGAAAGTCAATCCAATGATATTGAGAGTCAGTCCAGTGATATTGTTTTCCCGACTGCATGGGATATTGAAGACAAATCCCCATTTATTGACATAGATTCAAGTGGACTTAAAGTGAATTATACAAGTAAGATGAAATAAAAAATCTCATAATATTTTTAATGACATTGCTCATTAGTTTAATTAATTAAAAAAAAACATTTAATTAAAGGTCCTGATGATTATAAAGCTACTATAATTCGAGCAAATCATCCAATCCCTCCACAATGTGGAATATTTTACTTTGAAATTAAAATTATAAATAGAGGAAAAATGGGTAATAATAATATTATTATTATTTCGTGTCAAGAAAATTATCTTTGTTCTTGCAATCTTTAATTTTATTTTTGATAGAATGATTGGAGTCGGATATTGTACAAAGCAAAGCGATAAAAAAATGGCGATAGATTATTTAGCCTATATAAATGATATGCTCATGCCTGGTAATAACAAATTTTTATTTTATATTTTTATTATTACAGATTAACATCTATAAAATATCCATTAGGATAAGAGTATAAGGAAAATAAGGAAAATAAAAAAAATAAGGAAAATAAAGAAAATAAGGAAAATGAAGAAAATAAGAATATAAGGAAAATGAAGAAAATAAGGAAAATAAATCATGGGGATGTAGTTACCATGGTGACGACGGATATTCATTTTATTCTGGAAGCTGCGAGCCATATGGACTGCCACATGGACTGCCATATACTACTGGCGATACGGTTGGATGCTATTTAAATTTTAGAAATAAGATAATATTTTATACTAAAAATGGCGTAAACCTAGGTAAATCTATTGTTATGTATTTATTTTTTCTTCTCTTAACAAATTATTAATTAGACTGATATTTGCTATATTTCAAGGAATTGCATGCTACTTACCCGTTGACATAAAAAATAATTTGTATCCTTGCATTGGACTAAGATCACAAGATGCATCTATAGAAGCAAATTTTGGTCATAAGAAGTTTGAATATTTTGGTAAATTTAGTTAGCATTTAAATTTTTTTTTTATGCAAATTCCCAACTTTAATAACGCTCCTTATACTTATGAATAGCAATGGCTAACGATGATCTCAGTAAAAAGTTATCATTATGGGAAAAAAATAGGATAAATCTTAATCCTTTTGATTTGTATGTAGATGAATTAAACAAATCATTAGAAAAAAAGCAAAGTAATGTACTTGAATTAAGCCATAAAGGAAAATTATTTTTCCTTACGGGAGTATGTGATAAAGCGCTTGAAGATTTAACCAAACTGCTAGAAGATGAACCAGATAATGTACTAGCACTAAGATACCGAGGAGAAATTTACTATATTATAGGAAAATATGATAAAGCGTTTGAAGATTTAACTAAACTTCTAGAAAATGAACCAGATAGTATAGTAGCACTAAGATATCTGGGAGAAGTTCATTATATGATGAAAAAATATAAAGAATCAATTGCTAACTTAGAAAAATTGCTAGAAATTAGGTCTGATGACGAATGGGCTACAAAAGCTCTTAAATTAGTTGAAGAGGTGTAAGTATAATGTGTATTCGTTAATTTTTTTAGGTTTTAAATTTGCCAGAAGCAAATGATAACTCATCAAAAACTGGGTGTCACCGTAATAGCAAGTAAGTTTTGTAACAATTTTTTACAGTTAATCACGATAGAAATCACGACCGTTAATTACAATACAAACTGAGCCACATATTGTGTGTTATTACAGCAAGTAAGTTTGTAACAAAAGTTTCACGATCGTTAATTCCAATACTAACTAATACAATCTTAACCACATACTGTGTATCACCGAAATAGGATGTAAGTTTTGTAGCAGTAAATCATGATAGAAATCATGACTGTTAATTCCGATATAAACCAACTCAACCTTAACCACAAACTGTATCACCGCAATAGTCTGTAAGTTTGTAACAATTTATTTTTACAGTAAATCATGATAGAAACCACAACCGTTAATTCCAACACAAACTAACTTAACTCACTTAATGCAATAGTCAGTAAGCTTTGTAACAAAATTTTTTACAGTAAATCGAATAGAAATCACTACTGTTGGTTGCAATAAACTAACTCAACCTTAATCACATGTGTATCACTACAGCTTGTAAGTTTTGTAACAAAATTTTTTACCGTATTTTCGCGAAATAACGCGCAGGGCGTAAATTCGAATTTTGGTCTGAGTTAATCTTAATTCGGCCAAATTCGAAATAACGCCCCTGCGCTTTATTTCGCGAAAATACAGCATAATAATATAAACGAACTCACCTTAACCACTTGATGTGTATAGCCACAGAGAGTAAGCTTGCAATGAAATTTTTTACAGTAATTCAAGAAATCATGACTGTTAATTCCAATACAAACTAACTTAACCACATGCGGTGGGTCACTGCAATATTCTGTAAGTTTTATAAAAATTTTTTTTTGCAGTAAATCATGATAGAATTCGTAGATGTTCATCATAAATCAGACCTAATCACATACGGTGTGTTACAGCAATAGCCCGTAAGTAAATAATGATAGAAATTAGATAGAAATTACGACTGTTAATTTCAAAACAAACTGCTCAATCTTAACCACATATCGCGTGTCACCACAATAGATCGTAAGTTTTATGCCAATTTTTTACCATGATAGAAATCACGACTGTTAATTCCAATACAAACTAACACAACCTTAATTACATATCGCACTAGTTTGTAAGCTTTGCATCACAATTTTTACAGTAAATCACGATAGAAATCATGATAATTAATTTAATACAAGCTAAAACAACCTTAACCATGTACTATGCGTCATCGCAATAGCTAGTAAGTTTTGTAACAACTTTTTTACAGCAAATCATAAAATTACGATTTATAATTCCAATACGGTACAAGCTAACTTAACTATTTGTATTTCACCACAACAGTCTGTAAGTTTTGTAACAACATTTTTACAGTAAATCAGGATAGAAATCACAACTGCTAATTCCATCTCAACCTTAACCACACGTATAACACCACAATAGTCGGTAAGTTTTGTACCAAAATTTTTACAGTAAATCATGATAGAATTATGACTGTTTAATTCCAATACAAACTAATTCAACCTTAACCACAATCTGTGTGTCACTGTAATAGCAAGTAGGTTTTGTGACAAAATTTCTTATAGCAATTCATGATAGAAACTACGTTGTAAATTTTAATTCAATCTTTAACCACAATCTGTATGTCACTGCAATAGTCTGTAAGTTTTGTAACAAAATTTTTTACAGTAAATTATGATAGAAATCATGACTATTAATTCCAATACAAACTAACACAACCTTAACCACATACCGCAATAGCAAGTAAGTTTTGTAACCAAAATTTTTTTACGACAGTTAATTTCAAAACAGTCTAATCAACCTTCCGCAATAGCGGGTAAGTTTATAAGAAAATTTATTATAGTAAATCAGAATAGAAATGACGACTGTTAATTCCAATATAAACCAATTTAACTACATTCTGTGTGTCACCTCAATAGTCGGTAAGTTTTACAATAAATTTTCTCATAATAGAAATCACAACTGTTAATTTCAATTAGGGATGTTAAGTGGTGCGTCTGGTGCAGTCCGGTCCCGGTCCCTAAAAAGTCTGGGTCCAGACTAGTTAAGGAACTAGTTCACCCCCCTGTCAAAAAATAGACAAAAACCGGTCCTACCCTAGTGGTTTTAGCGGTTTATTATAAATTTTGTACCGGTAATACCTTTATTATATATATCGATATTACATAACCGATAAAAAAAAACGCGTATATAAAATATATACTAATCT